TGCACCTTACCTCTACACCTACGGATGCATCCGTATGCAAACTGCACCCATCTTCTTAATTGGTGAATTTGAATGGATAAAAACCTCCACCAGTAATGGCTACAGAAAACTACCACATCGGCTTCTAGAAGTCCTCTTAACCCACTAAACAGGGGATTTCATTACAAAGTTTCCTATACGACAAGGAACAAACTCCTTTTACCATGACCGGACCTACATGGAACAAACTTTTTATATCAAATTGCTGGACTGTGGGACCTATTGACTTATGGTGATGCAATAATGAAATTAGACAGCTAAAGGTTTAAGATGATTAACCTTGTCATAGAAATTAATTGTTTAAGACCTGCATATACGTAAATAATACCTATTTATGTACAATCAAGGAATCCATCCATCAACCAGATAAAGTCGGATCTCGAAGTCCACATTTGGAGGGGTTCATAGGGCAGTGTACTAGAGCAACTTAATCTTAGTATTCAAATTCAATTTTAAAAAGCTGTACTTTCCCCATTTACAATATTGAAGAACAAGATCATAATTGTTGCAAATATTTGAAATGCAATTGTGGGGCTAAAACAAAAGAGAATCAATTAGATCGTTTTAGTGACTTACTAGGACAGGTGATATCCTCTGCACAAAAGGAACATTGTTAAGGACTTCAGCTCTACAAAATGCAATGAAGAAACAAGATAAATGACAAAAATAAAATCATTGACAAATAGAGAAAAAGGACTCTTCAAATTTCATGCTCAAGAACCAGCACCCCATAATGTAAAAGAACTCATAATAACAATATACTCTACAATAATGATTAGATATCAGATAACAGGTTATAAATATGTCTGTTTTGAAGCATGAACAAGAACAAATATGCAAACTAAAATTAGTTAATTCTGGAAAGAAATAAATAAATCCCCAACTACTCATGTAAACATGCAAGGTACCAAATTGGGAAGGCACACCAAATTAAATTAGAATAATGCCAGGCATCAGTTTTGTTGCATAAAATTAAGGTGTTACATCTGCTTCTTTTTTCTTTCTTTTTTTAATTTTTCATCTGGTGTTTTTAAGACTACCCCTAAAGTTTGGGATTAAACAAATCCCATTTGGATTGTTTTCACAAGGGTGTCAAATGGAAAAATGAGTATATGTATATGCAAATTTATACATGCGTATATGTGTGTGTGTCTAGAGAGAGAGAGAGAGGGGACCATTGCTATTTCATGTGTAGCCACTCTATGACTTCCAGCTTTCTTTCTCCACAACAAGGCACGAGTAAATGATCTTCTGAATCTATCTAGAAGTAGTTCAGTATGTGACATACAATATTTGCACTCAGTGACCCCATGACCGGATGCATTTCACATCCCTATCAATAGTTCAACCATAGCTTCATCGTACTGATTAAGTTTCATAAATACTTTATTTTTACAATCTAAAAAACCAATTAATTTTTGTGTTTGCAGTAGGCAAATATTTCAAAATATCAGCATCTAAACAAAAAAGATGGAATATTTAGTAGCCCAAGTAGCTAATGTATAAAGAGAAAACTTTGTAGGTTTAGTTTAACTTTTTTTTCTTTTCCTTTGATAATTAGCTCTATAATTCATCTGTACTCTCCTTTACTTCCCTGTTTAGCCTTTTTTTTTTTTTGCCTGATGAGTCTCCCCTGTTTAGCTCTTATCGGAGTTCTTTATGATCAAATACAAAAAGAAGACATGGGGTATACCATTTATTGCAACAAAAGCATTTTAACTAAAATTTATTTATTCTTAGGCAAAGTCAAAATATGAAGATAAAATTTATACGAAGCTATAAAACATAAACAAAATTCAATTCATACAATAAAGTGAAGTAATGTTAAACTGAACAGTAGACACCTTCATATGACAAGCTAAAGAAAGGCTAACCACTATGGTTAATCCTATGAAGTTTATGGCTACTATACGCAGGCTTTAATTTCCATCCTACCAATGAGACGTTATATAAAAAAAACATATTCTAATTTTTTTTATATTTACATGTTCTTTATATTTGACAATACAATTGCTGGATATCAAATGAAAATCATCATTCAAGAGTTAAAAGTAAATAAATAAAAAATAAAATCTAATCTCTCTTTTTTCTTTTTTTCTCTTTCTTTTTTTTTTTTTATTGAAGATACAACCATCATCATCACCGTGGCAAATAATGAAATCACACAACAACAAATGAGAGGAAAGACTGCCTAAGAAAGGCAAACTATTTACACGTGGGAGTGAGTTCAGGGTTGGCTATGGTGAAGCCAGGTGGGGTCAGCTGCTTCTCGTGGTCTTGTCAAGTTGTTGGGTTTTGAACAACACATAAGGCTCCATCCTTGGAAACAAAAGACTCAAAACTCCTCCAAAACCTTAGCAATCTGCCAAGCTTCAGGCCTCTTCTCCAGAAGCAAGGACCAGCACAGCTTGATCCAAACTCGTATAGGAGAGGGACACCCTAAAGGAATAGCTGCCCTCAAGTTCTTGTTTACTACTGCCGAGTCTGCCTGAATGGGATCATATCCTCATAAGGGATGATCCCAGCTGCCATCTCCCATAACACAAGCTCAAGGCTATGAATACCAACCTTTTCGCCATAAACCTTCCATTTAATCAGCTTGCTTGTCATCATTGATAGTTTGTGTGTCTTCTAATAGAAAGTCACAATGCTTCCCTTCACAATTTATTGCAAAATCCACAATCTATTTTTTTTGAGGAATATGTTGACTTTTTATATATGTAATAAAGAATTACAAAAGCTAGATCTTACAAAAAACAGCATCCCACAAGTTGGGTGCCCTTACATCGAACAAAAGAAAATAAAAGGAAATAAATAAAAAGAAAGTAAAAAAACCACAATAGACATATAGATACTACAGAAAGGGATGCTCCTGTAGGTGTGAGGGCAATGCTTGAGGATCCTGGTGGACGATGTAGTTTGCAACGACCAAAACATAGTAGGAATTGTGTTTTGTATTGAAACTGTTCCTATGTGCTGAGTATTTCCTTATCAGTCTTCAAATTTGTTCACCAAACTTCACGATGATGAGGCAAACCACCGTTAAGTGATACTACAGGGGAAGTTGGGAAGATGAAAAAGTTGGCTTGTCCCTGTTAACAGCTTTCTACTGCTGCTAAAGACCTGTGCTCTATAAGCGGAAGCAGTGTTTCATAAACCGCTCGGCGGGTCCTAAGCAGCCTGGGGGTTTTAGGCCCCCCCAGCACCTAGGCGGGCCCCCAGAACCTGGGCAGCCCAGTTGAACCAAAAAAGGTATCTACAGTTATATATTGAATAAAATATATGAACTAGGTATTTAGGACACATCAGAATTTAAAGTATATTACACATTAGCACACACTCCATAAGCATAACCATAAGTCAGTCCATAATCCATATCCAATTAAAACTAAAAATTTATCAACCAATCAAATTACCAAACCAAAGTTAACACTTACTTTGGGTTTGATTGCTCAATCTCCAAACTTCCACCTCAAAGATGCTTCTAAGGATTCAAAATCTTCTAAAACACCCCCCAATAGTTTTATAGAACATCAAAAAGTAAATATAATATCAATGGGTGAAGTTTTTTTGATCAATTTCTCATAACTTTGAGAAACCTTCGATCCTAACGAAATCACCAAAAGACTAGTTTTTGGGGGCGTTCTCTCTCTAAAATCGGCTCCAATAAGTTTTCGGTTTCAAATGGACCTAAAACCCCCTTTTGGCCCTTTAGTATAAAAAAAATAGACAAAAAATGCCCCCACCGAAAGCAATTTCCGCCTCTAGGCAGGACGCTGGACCTGGGGCGACCGCCTAGGGGTTTTCCTCGGCGCCCAGCGACCACCGCTTTTTTTGGGTGCCTAGGCCTGGGCGATGTGCCCGGGCCCCAAGATCCGCCTTCGCGGCGGCCCAGGCGTTGGGCGATCCGCTATTTGGAACACTGAACGGAAGCTTCTTGTGTAACCTCAAGGCTAAGGGCAACACCGAGATGGTAGAGTAAAAAATGGAGGGAAGAGGGAAGAGAGCTAAGTTCACACAAGTTACAACCGTAAAGTACCCCAGAGCGTAAGTAGAGAGGGTGAAAGAAGAGGTAGGTAAGAGAGGAGAGGTATAAGTGTGAGGTAGATAGAGAGTAAGATAGGGATTGAATAAAAGTAATGAGGTGAGGAAGAGCCGAAGGGAATCTGAGAAATGAGTAAAGAGAGGGATAGATGTTAGAAACATGAGAGAAGAGCGGGAGATTAAAGAGATGGAAAATGAGTAGATAGAAAGGAGGTAAAGAGATAGAAAAAGGGGGAGGAAAGTGAGTAGATAGAATGGACAAAATAAGATAGAGAATGGGATAGGGAAAGATGGGTGGAAACAAAAGAAGAAGGGAGGGGGAAAGAAGTGAAGAGAGCAGGAAGCGAGAGAATGAAAAAGAATAAACGCGGAAACAAAATTACTGATCCACCCCCCCCCCCCACCCCCTTTTTAACTTTTTTTTTCCTTTACTTCTCTTTTATTTTTTGTCTTTTTTTTTTTCCTTTTTCTTTTTCCTTAACCAGAAAACAGAAGGTGGAGGAGGAGGAGAAGAAAAAACAGGAGAGGAGAGAGAGGATTAGAGGGTAGAGAGAGAGAGAGCGATAAAAATTTTCAAAAAGGAGGCTATGTACCTGCTGCGCCCATGGCTGCACCTTCCTTGGCCAAACGATCCGCCACTGCATTGGCCTCTCGGTAAATGAGTGTATGTCGAACTTGGGTGAGGGTTCTGCAGATGCAACAACCTTGCTAAAAAACAGAGCTAAGTCTCCATGGGGTCTCCTTGAGGTCAGACGCCCAAAAAATAGTATTCTTGGAGTCAAATTCTACTATTAACCCATTTGAACTGTCATCCATATAAGCCACCTTTTTTAGTCCTAATAATGCATGGGCCTCTGCTTCAGTGGAGTCTAGTATCCCAATGTACTCCGAGAAGGTCCATAGGGTTAAGTCTGAGTTGGAGAGAATCCCTTAGACGCCAGAGGGACCCGGTTTCCTAAGGAAGAGTCGTCTATGTTCAATTTAGAAAACCAAGGGGTGGAGGTGACCAAAGGGGCCGTGGTCTGTGTGAGGGGGTTGAAAGGTTAAGTAAGCTGCTCCAGTTATGCAGAAAATGGGAAATTGGGATATTTGCAAAGAGGTATGTTTTTGGCCCAGAAGGACATAAGGGAAGAGATTGTATGAAAGATAGACTTTTGGGATTTAAGAATACCTCTAAAAGTTCTGGAGTTTCTCTCTATCCGCAAGCTCCAAAGTAGAGCAGCTATAGCATGACACCACAGTTGTTTCCCAGGGGAGGAGAAAGGGGGTGAATACAGAGACTCAAAGAGGATATTCAGAGATGGAGGGTGACCCATTGAAGACAAAAAAGCTTCAGGAGAGATGACCAGAGCCCAAAAGAACTTTCACAGTGGATGAATAAGTGTGGAATGGTCTCTTCTTCTAGGTGACAAAGAATACATCTATAAGGGAAAGAAACTCCACACCGTAGCAATTGATCTAGGGTAAGGGTCTTCCCGTGAAGGAGAACCAAAATGAAGGCTTGGACTTTATGGGGTATAAGAAGGGACCATGACTTGTTAATCAAGGGTTGGAAGGTGGGGTTCTTAAGCAAAGAGTTGTAGGAGGAGGACACTGAGAAGCTGCCCAAGGGGAATTCTGACCAAATAAGGGCATCTTGACGGTTAAGAGCACTGAAGACGGGGTGCAGTAGTTGGAGTAAGGAGGTCAGGGAGGTAGTTTCCTGCTCTGAGAGATTTCTACAAAAAATAGGTGTCCAAATTAGATTGAACACACCTAGCTCAACATATTGAGCTATAAAAGCTGATTGGTTGGAAGCCAAAGAGTAAAGAGAGGGATAGGAAATGTTGAAAGGGGTGTGACCTATCCAAAGGTCAGTCCAAAACTTAATTCGGTGACCATCGCCTAGTTTGAATGTAGTTCGACTCAAGAAAGCATTCTTTGTGAATGAAATGCTTTTCCAAGAACCGGATGACCCTTGTGGTGGAGTTCTAGGCAACCAGTCTGCAGTACCCATTCCATATTTGTCCCTGATGACCTGCTTCCATAATAGTGGGAGAGGAAAATTTCACTTCCCTAAAAGTGCAAGGTTCATAGTTCTAAGGTTTTTTATATCCAAACCCCCAAATTTTTTTGGAATGCAGACCATATCCCAAGCAATTAAATGATAGTTTTTGGAACCTTCTAGTCCAGACCATAAGAAATCCCTCATTAATTTTTCGAGTTTGCGAATGACCGAAATAGGAATTTGAAAGAGTGACATATAGTAAATAGGAATGCTAGCAAGTGTGGCTCTAATAAGCGTGATTCTACCCCCAAAAGATAGGAATCGCCCTTTCCAGGAGGCAAACTTCCATGTGAATTTCTCAATCAGGTGATTCCAAAGGTGCTTCCTAGGTTTACCTAAGCACAAAGGAAGGCCCAGATAAGAGGATGGGAGGGTTTCTATAGCACATCCTAGCTTCTGGGCTAGACTCTCCAATTCTGCATTTTGGACCAGAATGCCTATCATTTTTTGTTTTGGTGAGATTTATTTTCATCCCTGTGAGAAGCTCAAAGGTTATGAGAAATCACCAAAGGCAGTCTTCAAACCCATATCCTCAACAAAAAGCATTTTCTCAGGCTTAAGGTCTCTTTGAATAACCCCTTGAGAGTACGCTTATTCCATTTACCATGCAATATCTAAGAAGATCTTTATTATTTTCTCAAGAATGTGAGAGCTGCCATAAGTTTGTGGAGGAATGATTTCGGTGCACCTCCCTATAGGTATTTGGTGATGACACAGCAGACCACTCCAACTGTATCACACTTGGGTGGTGGAGGCAAGAGAGAGAAGTAACCTATCTGTTGAACTGCTTAAGCCAAAACTCCATTTTCATTATCATCACGCCGTGCAATCACCTTCACAACAGCAGTTTGATCCTTGTAATGCAATTGTCAGTTCAATGTGACCCCAAGCTGCAAACCATGACCCTACAAACAACTTTGATAAATCCACCATCCATTTCTTGAGCAGTCTCCACCTGTAACTCTCCCACCTCCATGCTCAAAGTATATAGCCCACAGTCCAGCTTTCAATTCTTGGATTCCTTCTCATCGATTAGTGGATGGCCATGACAGGATAGGACAACTCATAGGAGACAAAGGATGGTAGAAACCAGTTTCAATGACTCTTAGCTGCTGCTTCTTTTCTCTTAGGGCCAGGAGTTGAAGATCTTAATTTATTATCACATTTTGCTTCCTGAAGGCATCAGAAAGAATGGTCTGAGGTATAGGGGAGAGAGATCTAGTCTTATTCTTCCAATGGTGCACAAAATAGATCAGGTTTCACAATTGGGAGAGATGAAACCCTAGAAGCATCCAATCTATGACACACATTATGCGAGTATTTCACCCCCTACCCAAGAGCTGGTTTCTTCAACCAACTTGTAAAAGCACTAAGCTAACAATAAAAATGCTGGAAAGCACCAGTTTAGCAAATAAGATATCAAAAAGAATCAGAAATGCCCAAGAAACCTGAAAATGGAAAAACATAATTCACCTAGAGCTAACCATAGGAAATCCATTCAGTGTCAGGAAACTTGAAACTCAGAAAAGGAAAACCAATTTCTTTTAAGCCTTATAAAAGGGATTGAATTCCAGTTTCTTTCAAGTCTTATAAAAAGGAAATCAGTTTTTAAATACTCCCTACCCAAGAGCTGTTTTCTTCAACCAACTTGTAAAAGCACTAAGCTAACAATAAAAACCATCGAAAGCACCAGTTTTAGCTAATAAGATATCAAAAAGAATCAGAAATGCTCAAGAACCCTGAAATCACATTAAGAAAATGCTAATTCCACCTAAACAAAACTCATTGCCCGTCCTATCCAAAAACCCATCAAAAAAATTAAAAAAACCAGACTATAAACCCAATTTCACTTCCATTGAACCATTAGGAAATCTAAATCTCATAGTCATGGAACCATTCAAACCCTATAAACCCACCCATAACCAAAAGGAAATGTGAAAATATCATAAAAATAATTCCAAATGGCAAAATCTTAAACAAGGAAAAAGAAAATTAAAAAAAAAAAAAATACAACAATATTTTATCTGATAATCAAGTGTATAATCAATCATTTTTGCAACAAACAAAAAGAGAAAAAGAAAAAGATCCAGAACCATGATGACTCCACCGCAAAAACTAAAACTACCCACAATTGACTCAGCATCTAAAACCCTACACACACACACACACACACACACACTCGCATGCACACACAGAAACACAGAGAAAGAGAGAGAGAGAGAGAGAGAGAGATTAATCTGATATTAACCTGAAATTAATTGACCCATAAACACTTTAAACTAAAGCCTTTCTCAACAAATATCATATCTGAAAGAGAAAGGTAGGGCCAAATTTACCCCACTGCAACTATATGTGAAATCCGGCTTTTATGCCATATAAATATAAAAATCCAAGCTTTCTGATCTTTGTACAAACTTTTAAAATCATGTAGTCCACAAATGCAATTCCAGTAAAACATGGATCAAAATACATCATTCATGCATAATTATATAAAAAAAATACATCATTCATGCATATTTATCCACTTCTGCAACTACAAACTCTCCAAGCAATCCATCATATTGCCAAGAAATCAACAGATAATATTAATAGTAAATAAAAAGACAAATTCACATTCTCATCTACAAACTTTCAGAGTATTAAACTCAGCAATTAGTTTTACAAGTGTCATGATAACAATGTCAAATATAAACAAATTGATATAAGAAATTCAGATTATGAAACCAGCTAACTAGTTCCTCCAAGTACATGATACCAATTTGATGCCAAATTACAGTGTTGCAGAAACGCACATATAAGAAAGAACAGCCTCAATCAAAATCCATTAAAAAAAAAAACCCAACTGGAATTAACAACTCCATACCTCTCCATTGCTTCTTCGAAAATCGAAACCACTCGGAGACCTCCCCTTCGTGCAAGAACACTACTCAGAGAGCAACCCAAAGAGTCCTTTTACTGTGGAAGTTTCAAAAAGGCAAGAAATACCCACACCCAAAAATCAAAAATCACAGAGAAAAATCATTGGGAACCCTCAAGACAAGGAGAAGATAAACCAGCAATAAAAGGGAAAGAAGCTATGGTTCATGAAAAAGGATCGGAAGAGTTTAATGTGAGGTGTAGAGAAGATAATCACAGGATGGCTAAAGCATAGCCATAAAGTCAGTTTTTTTCACAAATGCAATAAAAAGGTAGACTTTTTATGGCAGAAACCCACTTCTGATAGCACAATCTAGAGAAATAGAAAGAGAGAGAGAGAGAGAGAGAGAGAGTACGTTCCTTACTTACTACTAGTAACGTAGTAAGTAAGTAAAGTAACGTTTACGTTAGTAGTTAAAGTTAAAGAAAGGTTAAAGGTAGAGTAAGTAAGAAAGAAAACGAAGAGAGAGAGAGAGAGAGTGCTTCAGCCCTTTTTTTATTCAGCTATACGGACGGTGCAGATTCTTTATATGCTACCCGACAAATAAAACCTAAAGAACTGGGAGCCCCTCATCTCACCCAAATCACCACTCTCTCTCTTCTCTCTCTAAATTTTCCAACGCAAAAGGGCTTAAAACGCCTCCTGCAAAACCAGAGACCCAGGCCAAATGGAAAAGGTCCTATTTTTTATTTTTTTGACGGTTAAAAAAGGCCCTAATTCATAGAAAACACAATGCTGCTCACAAGGGTCATTAAGGACCATCCCACAACTCGAATCCCAATCGTAGATGAAAGAAACTATTGCCCCCAATCCTTGCTGAAGTTCCAAAATAGAGGACTTTAAAATCCCAGAAAGGTATGAGTTCTAGAGAGAGAAACTTAAAATTTGCACAATTGAAATTTGAGAGAGAAACTTGAAATTTTCAGAATTGAAATTTGAGAGAGAAACTTGAAATTTCCGAAGAGTACGAGCCCTATCAACTGTTTGATTCTTTGTGAGAGAAAAACACTTTATATTTTCGAGAGGTATTGAGATTATTTCTGTAGAATTGCAGTGAGTCAAATGCAGGGAAACAGAAAGCACAGAATTGTCTTTACCTCCAGCAACAACTGCTCCAATGATTCTAGAATCCAGCTTAAGGATGCAGGATTATTGCCTACTGATTCTGAGATCATGCTTTGGGATTCTTTCATTGAAAACCACGTGCTTTTACATGCTCTTTTTGCTAGAATGAATTATCAGAATTGCTGCTTGTTTTTTTCTTGTAATATTGGCAAATGCTGATCATTCGTATGAGAGAAAAAAAAAAAATTGATCTGCACTGTAATTAAGTGGGGAAGACAAGCCCCTGCCTGTTTTTTCTAAGTAGATTAGGAGTTAACTTTTTGAAAGTGTTAATGGGGTGGTGGAAATGAAAACCACCACCACAACTCTAACCCTTTTCCGAGGAAATGACCATTTCCATCTAATATCCGCTTGAACCATTCAGATAATTTTCAGAAAACTATTAAAGTTCTTTGGCCGCATGGATTGATATCCCTCTACCAAAATATTCAATATAGAGATTGTATATTAAAAGACCATTTATTGCTTACAAGAAAGTCATAATCAAAAGGCCAAAATCATGTTTTAAATTTGAAATTAGCATGCTAGGTTTCTACCTATAAAAATTATTCTAAGTTGAATAGTATATCTCCAATTATCAAATTTCACATCTAACAGTCATAAGTAATTGTGACATTTTTTTACCAAAAACAAACACCATTCTTATTTGTATTTTCCTTCTAACCTATCCTCATTTTTTGTATTGTAGGTATTATAAAAATTAGGTTTTGGTTTCTTCCATTACTGGTTAAGGTGTAGGTATTATAAAAATTAGGTTTTGGTTTCTTCCATTAGTGGTTAAGGTGTAGGTATTATAAAAATTAGGTTTTGGTTTCTTCCATTAGTGGTTAAGGTGTAGGTATTATAAAAATTAGGTTTTGGTTTCTTCCATCAGTGGTTAAGGTGTGAAGGTGCAAGGACCAACTCCAACCTCAAATTTTAGATTCAACAAGTTTCAACTTATGACTTCCTTAACAAAAATTTTAATTTTTGGCTCATAATAATCCTCTCTTTATAAACCTCTTTGGAAATTAACTATCTCTATTACCCTCAAAGCTTTGATTAACATAAAAATTTTTGAGGTCCACAATACTGTCTCACACTCAAAAACTCTTCTCTTTCTTCCTCTCTCACTCTAAGTTTTCTCTCTAATAAAACACAAAAGTTTGTCTCCTTAAAAAAAAATTTCTCTCTCTAAAAAAGCACAAAGGGGAGCCTATACATGACTGGTGCATGTTTCAAGAAGCTAATGACCTCAGTAATGAAGTGATCAATATCTTTGTACTCGAGAGAAGACAACAAAAAAAGTCATTTCACATACTCACGTGTATGGACTGAATTGCCCCTTGGAATCTTGATATGAGGCCCCCAATAAATTTTGGCACTTAGGAAATGGTTATGGTGGTGGGGTTGCTCACTTAGTCACGTTTTCAACCCTGTTTACGGCTGCCCTAAAAAAATTAATTCTTTAATCTATATAAAAAAAAAACAGATAGGGTCCGTTTTCCCATTACTCAAAAAATAGGTCCTCAATAAGAGGCGAGTTGTGGTGGTTGTACCCACCGCATTGTGATTTTCATGTTGACATCACCCATTTATACCTTAAAAAAAAAAAATTTCTTTAATCTATATATAAAAAAACAAGTAAAGGCTTATCTTCAATATTGAATTAAAACTAAAAAAAATAAAAAAATAAAAAAATAAAATTAAAAATAAAAATTATAGCCCTACCAAATAGAGATAATCCCAATTATAAATTATGTGGTTCCCGCTGCGGCATCCAACTTCTGGCTTTTGTGTATTAGTACTTGAGGACATGTAGCATCAATTATGACTTTATTGGAAAACTTTTGGCTTTTACGTATTAACAATTGAAGAATGTAGCATTAATTATGACTAAATTGGAAAACTTTTGGCTTTTGTGTATTAATACTCGAGGTCATGTAGCATTAATTACGACTTTATTGGAAAATATGGTGGAAAATTTTATTTAAAGCATATTTGAAAGGGAAGTCTTTTATTTAATTAATTTTTTATTTTTCAAGGAGCTTATGGGTAAATATTTTAGATATTTGAATAAAAAAAGATTTGCTTCCATGTTGAGGATTGTTAGCTTCAAAGCCTATTTCATAGTCCCAAATTTAAGAATCATCTTTTGAAGATTATGCATTTTGGTTATTTTGGCATTGTAATTACAATAAAAAAAAAAGGAAAAAAAATACATAGAGCCAAGGCTCTAAACAATCAAGTTTGAGCCTATCTCAAATATTTCACTAGAAGACATTGTTTTGATACCCAGGTATCTTCAAATTGATCATCTCGACATCAAGATGCATAGACATGAGAAAAAAATGGATTTTTAAGTTGTGAAAATAGTGTATTTTATAATGCTTTTTTAGACCGTCAATTTTCAAGTTTTCATAGATATGTCGATCCACACTATTTTTGAAGCTTTAAACTTTGTAAATAAATATAAAAATATTTTTTAAAGCTGTTATAGAGATTTTCAGTATTGAAACTACATTTCTTGATGCTATTTGAAAGTAGGCTCTAATTTGATTGTTTAGAGCCTAGGCTCTATGCAAACCGCACCCATAAAAAAAAAAAAAACAAAGTGGAAATGGCAGGTGCCTCATGCTGGTACTATTGAAAAGCTTTCTAAAAACTTAGCCATGAAGAATACTTAAAATATTCAATTTAGAGACTACTACTGGTAGATTTTATAAATGCCATAATACGCAGAAGAATGACAATACATTTTACTATAAAATATAAGCAAAGATAGATGGAAATAAAACTAAATCAAGGAACAAAGGAAAATCACTAATATAATTTTAATGTACTTATCTACTGTTAGATGGAATTTAAAAATTATTTCTACATCGTAAAACATTATACCAAAATATCATAGTCTTGAGAACTTAAAAACTCATTGTGAAAAATTTGGAAAATAATCATAAGCAAATTTTATAATATAGAAAAATTGCTTAAAATAACTTTGATTTTTATATTTTCAAAAGCTATAAAAAGAAAGATGTTACTAAAGATTTTTTGTAGTGTTAGAAATTCAACATTTATAAATATAAGATGTCGAAGACTGATTTTCTACTATTATAATAGGTACATCATTTTTTATTTGAGACACTTTGAAATTTGAAAATTTTAAAAAATAAATAAAATTGGTTTCATTGTGTTTAAAAAAGTCTAAAAGGAGATAAAGTTTGTTTCTTGCTTTCAGTGAAGAAAATATTATTAACTTCAAAATATTGAAAAAATGTAATAAAAAATAGGAATTACTCATAGATATTTACTCATAGATATTTTGGATACATAAAATTTATAGATAAAAATTGGCATGCTAGTATAGAACAGTTATAATTTTCTAATAAAATTATTTAAAAAGTATGAAATGCATAAATATTTAATTAAACAAGAGTAAATAAATAATGATAGCACTTGAAAATTATAAAAAAAAAATTTCTGAAAATAAAACTTCATTTTTTCTAAGTAAAACTTGAAATGAAATTTCTTTGTATTTAAAATTTGGGTGCAGTTGGCATACGGATGCATCCGTAGCAGTAGAGGTAAGATGCACCTTCAAATTTTATCATAGTATATAATTTTGATGTAAAATGTTTATCTAATTATAAAATTTTAAATTTCAAAATGCCTAAAATCAACTAGATCTATAAACATATGAAAATCTTGAAAATGGACGGTGTAGATAATATGTTGTAAAATGCACTATTTCTAAAACTTAAAATCTTTTTATTTTTCATAGTCGTACATCTTGATGTCGAGATGATCAATCAAAGGTTTTTTCAACATTAAAACTACCTTTCTTGATGGATTTTTTGAGGTGCATCCGTAGTTCTACATTATAAGGTTGCGTTCCAAGGAAAAAGTTTATATAGAGCTGAGGCTCTAAACCATCAAATTGGAGCCTACCTCAAAACTTTCACTAGAAGAGTTGTTTTGATTCCCAAATATCCTCAAACTAACCATCTCGATATCAAGATGCATGAACATGAGAAAAAAAAAATGGATTTCATGTTCTGGAAATAGTGTATTTTGTAATGCATTTTGGACCGTCAATTTTCAAGATTTTTAAGTTTTCATAGATTTGTTGATCTACACTAATTTTGAAGCTTTAAACTTTATAAATAAAGATGAAAATATATTTTAAAACTATCACAATGAATTTCCATATGGAAACCATACTTATCGACACTATTTGAAGGTAGGCTCTTA